TCCCCCTGGGGTGGGTCCCCAGTGAGACCCCACAAGCCAGGCTCCAGGGAGGTCTCTGGGCAGGCACGACAGGCCTCTGGCTTCCTGGTCCAGACAGGTTTCTGGGGCGTGTTCCGTAGGACCAGGGGCAGGAGAGCTGCAAGCCCTGGAAGCAGAAGCATCTAGAACAGCGGGGCCTCTGATGGACTTGTGTGCTGTTTGCATTCTCACTGTCCTCCGCGATGGGTGGCTTCAGGGCTCAGAGCAATTCTGGGCTGTGAGACCCAGCACCTCCCCTCCCAGCCCTGCGAAAAGATTGCGACACCATGGGGCCCCTGCCGTGTGTGAGTGAAAAGCTTGTAGAAGGGGTCCTGGGGTGGGTGTTTCAGTCGGCTGAACGTCTGACTCTTGATTTTGGCTTAAGTCATGATCTCACAGTTTGTGGGTTTGAGCCCCGCACTGGATCTGCACTGACTGTGCAGATCCTGCTTGGGATTCTCTCTTTCTCCCTCTCTCACTGCTCCTCCCATGCTCATGTTCTCTCTCAAAATAAGTAATAAAGATAAAAAAAAAAAAAAGGCGGTAGCAGAATGAATGACGTCGAAAGCCGCTGGCCCCCGCCCACACTGTACACACACACATCCGACCTGCCTGTTGCAGCTCCCGTAATGAAGAAGTGAGGATCTGAGGGAGCAGGAGGCAGAGGCAGGGCCTCCGGGTCCCCGGCAGCCCTGCTGAGCGCTGTGGGACACCGTGTGCCTCCCGTATTCTGTGGCTCCTCGGGCGGTTCTGCCCCGTTGGGGTTCTCCAGTGTTGGGGTCCCTGTGGCCAGTTTGGCCTCTTGGCTTTACAGGAACCCCTCCCAGAGGAAGGAAGCACATGGCATCCAACGGGTGGGCCTCCCTACCAGCCCACCCCCTCCCACCAGGCTCAGCTCCAGTCACCATCTGGGGAGGCCCACCCCCAGGGCCTGTCGCTCCAAAGGGCTGGCATGGAGCTGGGGCCGCTAAGAATCCCCGTCCCGGTGGCGTTTTCTCTGTGGTCTCTCCCGGATGCTGGGGAGAGAATGAGGCTCGTAGGCCATTTGGGTTTCTCTCTTCTTGGAAGAATGTCACAATTCTGTGGAGTGGTGGTCTCCTTAGGAGCTCTGGCCAGGTGTCCCTTTGACCTGGGTCCCGACTGAGAAGCGACTGCAGGCTGTTGGGTTCTAACAGGAACTGTGTCCGGGATCTACTAGTTCATCGGCTTCAGATTCCCTTTGGCATAACGCTTCAGCACTGATGTGCTTGGAGGCGCGGCGCCGGCTTTCTCAGCCATCTCGGCCGGCATCCTGTCCTGGGAGCCCCGGGGAAGTGTGGCAGTCAGGTTTGGGGTCAGACGGCCGCACAAGCGGCTCCCCAGACCCGGGGTGGGGATGCAGGCGAGCGCTGTCCAGAGGGAAGCACGCGGTGACCGTGTGCCGCTGTCCCCGCGCAGGCTCAAGGGAGTCCCTGCTTTCATGCACGCTGACAGCCAGCGAGGAGGCCATGGCCGTCCTGGAGGAGGTCATCTTGTACGCCTTCCAGCAGTGCGTGTACTACGTCTCCAAGGTACGGCGCCGCCCTGGGCGGGACCGATGTGCTGTCTCCACCATCACACGAGGAATTGGAGCTCGAACCACCGCCTCTGCGCACTGAGCCCCGGCTTCCAGGTCCTCGCCCTCCCAGCTGGCGTCACCCACATCCTGTGAGCTGGCGGCTGCACAGATGCCAGCAGTGGCAGGGAGCGGGGGGCGGGGGCGGCCGCGCTGGGCCATGGGCATGGTGGTTCTTGCTGCCACCGGAGACAGCGTTAGAGCCTCTGGGTCGGGAGGAGCCACTTACCCTCTCCCAGCACATGGAGTAGGCTGCAGGGGGGAGTGGAGAGAGCAGGGGCCCCTGTGGCAGTGACCCCTACTGGGGGATCCAAGGGGACCTGCATTCTGTGGGGGATGTGTCAGCGGGGAGTGAGGGGGGCTGGTTGGAGAAGAAAACGATCCCCTTTGTTCCGCACGGAGTTGAGACAGTCAAGTCAGCCAGCGCCATGGTCACTTAACACCAGCAGGCCTGATGGGGTGTCTTGGCCAAACAGGAAGGAGCCTCCCCCTGGGTCTGAGCAGGGCTGTGTGCTGCCCTTGACCTGTCATCCCACGATCACCTTGAGGTGTGGTGGCTGCGAGGCCTCCCCCTGGAGGTGACGCCTTCGCTCGTTTTTTGGGAGCAGCTGTTGCTATTCTGTCCCCCAGGGACAAGTGTGGGTGCCTGCCGTCCCTTTCGCCAGGGCTTCCACCAGGATGGTGCCCGTGGCCCCCACGCTGCTGCCCCTGGCTCAGCTCCGCAGGAGGGGGTGCTTCTGGTGCAGGGGGAGGGTCCTGGAGGGAATGTCGGGCCAGTCAGCTGCCCCCCACCTTGTGTCTGATGGAACAAGAGCCATGAGGGGTCCCAGCAGCCCTTCTTCCGGGCTCTGTGCACCTGCGGAGGTCATGTGCCCCCCGGGACCCAAGCTAGACTGGCATGCCCGTGGCCTCTGCGGACGTGGCTGGTGTTTCCCTCTCGCCCCCAGTCCTTGTACGTCTGCCTCCCGGCCCTGCTGGAATGCCCCCCTTTCCAGACGGAGCGCCGGGAGAGCTGGTGCTCGGCCCCCCAGCTGCCTGAGGAGCTGCGCCGGGTGGTGTCCGTCTACCAGGCCACGCTGGACCTGCTGCGGCAATTCCGGGTGCACCCCGAGATCGCCGCCCAGGTGCTGGCCTACCTCCTCTTCTTCTCCAGCACACTGCTCTTCAACCAGCTCCTGGACAAAGGTGAGGAGGGGCGGGCCTGGGGGCACGTGCTGCTGGGGGCGGCTGTCCCCGTCTGCAGAAAGGCCGGGATGGGGGTGGGGGTCTGCACAGGCCTTTCCCCGTCCATTTTACCCCTCAGCCCTTGGCTGGGAGAGGAGGGACAGGCTCAGAGACGGGACGTGGGCTTTGTCCCCGCCTTCTGCCCCCCAGAATCTCTTCACTACAGGTGCCAGTCACTTCTAGCTGGGGGCCCCGCTGGGACTTGGGGGAATGAGTGAACCCTTGGCACTCAAGTGCCTTCCTGGGCCGGTCAGGTTCCGCAGGCAGCATCTGGGCCCTTGGGGCCTTGCCATAGGTGCCGACTCCTCTCTAAACTTGGGGCTCAGTGGCTGTCACAGCCCCTCCCGGTCATGCGCTTCACCTCCCCCACCCATGCCCACCCCGCCCGCCCAGAAGGGGGCCCAGAAGCAGGCCAGTTGCCTTGGAAACCAATGTAAGGTGCTCAGGCCTGTCATCAGAGGCTTGCAGGAGTGGGGGGAGGGGCGGCCGGCACGGCGTCACCTTCCTGCCCCTCCAGGCCCGTCTCTGAGTTGCTTCCACTGGCCCAGAGGCGTCCAGGCCTGCGCCCGCCTGCAGCAGCTCCTGGAGTGGATGAGGAGCAGCGGCTTGGGAGAGGCCGGAGAACGCTTCTTCCGGAAGCTTTCCTGCACGCTCAACCTGCTGGCCACTCCCCGGGCCCAGCTTATCCAGGTAGGAGGGGTGCACGAGGTGTCCCTCTTGGGTCACCAGCTCACAGACCAGGCGCGGGCCACATTATGGCTTCAGGACCTCAGAGACCCGGCAGTGTGGCTTCCGTTCCACTTCTGTTCCCACCTGCTGGCGGGATAAGGCCCCCCAGGGTCCCCGGGGTCTGTGTCCCATCCGTAACCCTGCAGGGCCTAGGGCTCTGCATGGACCCTGAGATGGGGAGATCGGCCTGTCTGGTGGGCCTGGCCTAAGCACATGAGTGCTTAAAAGGGCAGATAAATGGTTCAGATTGAGGACAGGAGGGGGGCCCGACCACCCAGTGGCTCTGAAGATGGACGGTGGCATGGCCTCCAGAACCTGGGAACAGCCCTCAGCTGCAGGCTGGCACAGGAACGGGGACTTCCGTCCTACAGTCACAAGGAACTGAATTCTGGCAACCCGCACGAGCCAGGAGCAGGCGGCCTTGCTGACTCCTCGGTGTGGGACTGAGGCCGGCCAGGTAGGTGGCTGACCCCCCAGACGGCAGAGGATGCATTTGTGGCCATGTTGGAAGAGCGACAGGAGGCGGGTACAGCACCTCGTCCCACGGTCATTGCGGATGATTGATGAAACCAAACCTGTGTGTCCCTTTCCTGCCTGCCAGACACCGTGTGCTCTGAGAGGTGAGGTGAGAGGCTGCAGGGGACCCTGGACCTTCCATCTGCTGTAAGATCAGAGCAGCTCCCCTCCACCCCAGGGCCCCAGCACAGAGACTCAGTAGCCGTGGTAGCCACTGCCTGCCGCGCACCTGCACTGTGTGACCCGCCTCGGCTGTCATCTCATGCCACCCTCCCAGTTATGGCTGCTGGCCAAGGCCCTGTCCCCTGGCCAGGGACGGTGCGGCAGAGGCAGAATCTACCCGGTGCTGGGCGCCCCGACTTGTTCTTTTATGTTGTTGTTGTTTTTTTAAAATTCTACAAGTGTGACTCCACTTGAGAAAATTTAAAATGGGGACATCTGGATACAGATAGCAAATTGAACATATGCATTTGGTTGGCTTTCTCCCAAAATATCACTAAACAAAAGCAAAGCTTAAGCGCCCAAGGACAAGGCCACCATGGGGAAGAGGAGACATGCGGAAAGCTGGAAAGCAGAGGCCAGGATGTAACTGCTTGAAGAAGATGTATGGCCTCAAGAACAGGGCCGGCTGAGAACCAAGATCCTGGAGTGGGAGGAGGGACAGCACATCAAACCAGATGGTCTGTAAACAAATAGATAACGGAGAAGAGCAGAAAGCCAAGAGTGGCTCTTAGAAACCACAGATTGCCAATATCAAACTGGAGGGGATGTTATTCAAATCCTACACTTTTTAAAAATGTTTTTTTTTATTCATTTCTGAGGGAGCATGAGCAGGGGAGGGTCAGAGAGAGAGGAAGATGCAGAATCTGAAACAGGCTCTGAGCTAGTTGTCAGCACAGAGCCCAATGTGGGGCTTGAACCCACGAATCGTGAGATCATGACCTGAGCTGAAGACGGATGCTTAACCGACTGAGCCACCCAGATGCCCCTTTCAGATCCTACACTTAAAGTGAATAGTAACAAGTGAATCTCAGTAAAACTAGGGAGAAATAGTTTTAAAAAATGAATACCAAGGGGCTCCTGGCTGGCTCAGCGGTGTGTGGCTCTCGATCTTGGGGTTGTGAGTTCGAGTCCTCCATGTTGGGTATAGAGAATACTTAAAATCTTGCAAACAGAGGGACTACTCCAGCCAGGCAGCTCCACACAGCAGGGCAATGCAGTACAGGCTTGAGCCAGAGTCTGTCAGGGGTCCCTGCTGCACAGCCAGGCCCTCCCTCTCGTGCTCGTGGAAGCCCTGCGCTTCTTTCTACAGCTTCTTTCTTTAAAACAGAGGGTCTCTGGGCCGGGAAAACCAGGCTTTCATCCTGACAAGGAAGGCTTCGTCGGGACAGAACCTTCCGCGTGCCGGAGGCCCCATGCTCTTTGCAGGAGGGGGCTGACTGGGCTGTGCTGGGGGTCAGTGATGCGCAGGCAGAGTCTGGAGGACGCGGATGCCTGTCCCCCCACGAGCCCGCCCGGCAGACTGGTACCGACTCTAAGATGGGAGCGAACAGCCTCCTGCACGGGAGACAGAGGTTGGAGGAACCAGATGAGGGGCTGGTGGGCTGCCTTCTCCGACAGGGACCCAGGGGGAAGTTCTAGCCTGTGTGGAGCACAGAAGGGCACCATCCCGCATTCTGCTTCCTGGCTTTTGTTTTAAGCCCTTTAAAAAATGTGAAAAGCATTCTCAGCTTCAAACAGACTTTTCAGGGAGAAGAAACCTAAAAAAAAATTATATCCTAAAGAGAAGAGAACCAAACGGATTCTTGGAAACTCGAACCCTGAGAGCAGAGACGAAGGGTCCAGCAGCAAGACTGGAAGACGGTTCAGGAAATCGCCTGGACAGCAGAGAGCTGGAAGGAAGGACAGGGTGCCCACAGGGGACCTGCTGGTGGCTTCTCTGCTGGTGGCGCCCTCTGACGCCAGCCCTGGACAAGGCACGGATGGGAAAACCCAAAGGAATGGAGCCTGTTGGGGCTCCCAGCACTGGCCACGTGCCCCCCAGAGAAGCCTTAAGACACGACTGTCCCTGTGGTGGAGGCGCTAGCCCCCCACGTGCCAGGCCTCTGGATGGCAGTAAAGTGAAGCGAGAGAAAAGCAGAGGAGAGGAGGAGAGGAGGGGAGGGGAGATGGGAGAGTGAGAGAACGGGGCAGGGAGGCCCAGAGTCCAACAGGAGGCGTGTGGAAGGAGTGGGGGGACGTGACGGCCTGGGAGTACAGATGACCGACCCAGCCCCAGACCCACCTGCCCGAGGTGCTGGAAGGCGCGGCGAGGGCTGAGCAGCTCGGCCACTGAAACGGACTTGCGCAGGGAGGCCCACCCTGCAGTGCTGGGATGATGGGCGCCAGGAGCCTGGGAACTTCCCAGAAGAATAAAGACAGGAATCTTCCAAAAATTAGCCATCAGAGTGCTTTCCAGTGTTCAAGAGCAACGCCACAAGCTGGGGGCCACCCGCCACGGAGGGCGTGGCCTGGCCTGGGCCCTTGACGGCAAGGTCAGCCATGGTCCTCGGGGTACCTTGGTCAGGAAGCTGCTGGTGTGTCTGTGTCACAGAAATGGAGATTAGCCCAGAGAACGGGAGAGAAGTTTCCAGAAAACATGAGCGGAAAGGCATCCCCGGCCAATGGACAGCAGGGTCACAGGTGACCGCACCTGTTGTTCTAGGTCGTCGAGCATGAGTCCACCCTTCTCCCCACATGGGCTGCCCGTCCTGGAAGGCTGTGCCTTTGCATGTGTCTTCAGCCCTTGGGGTTGGATCTCTCCCACACCCTGTGAGGCAGGAATTCAATTTCTCTTTCCCCAAATCCCCAGGGCTCCTTTCCTGGTGTCTCAGCCGTGCAAGGTGCTGTGGGGGGAGGCACGTTCAGGGGACAGAGCCCTTGGTGGGGTGTTCGCTGACCTCAGCGGCCCTCAGGGGCACCACGGCCCTGTGCATGCTGGTTGGGAGCCCAGACCATGGGGCCCTGCCCCCAGAGCACCCAGGAAAAAGATCCTCTGGGGGTGTGGCTGTGCCACGCGGGGCCTCTGACCATATGCTCCTCCTCGTCCCCCAGATGAGCTGGGCGAACCTGCGGGCCACGTTCCCTGCCCTGAGCCCCGCGCAGCTGCACCGGCTGCTGACGCAGTACCAGCTGGCCGCTGGCATGGGCCCCATGAGCGCCTGGGAGCCCGGTGCCCGGGACAGCCCTGATGCCTTCAAATCAGGTAAGCCTCCTCAGGGGCGGGAGCAGGGACCCTGCGGGCCATGCTGGGGACAGTGGGGAGCTTCCAGGGGGACTTCCTAGAAGAGCCCGCAGAACCCCTGTCCCCTCCACCCTGGGCTGTCTTTTCCACCTTGGGACCTGGGGACTCCCATAGATGGAGCTCAGGGAGACCACAGGCCATGGCCAAGTTCTGACCTCCGGGTCAGGTCCAAGGTCCTCCGACCCAACATGGGGCCTGAGATGGGCCCCGCTTGATGCACAACCCAGCAGGAGGAGGACAGGGTCTCTGTGCTTGGTGCCAGGATGGCGTGCTTGCCACGCCTCCACGTAGGCTCACGCGCAGTGCACACGTACCTGTCTGCACGTATGTTTGTTACAAACAGATTCACGTCTCTTGTTAGCATGATGTACCTAATGACGTAAATTAAGGTAGAAGATAGAGCTAGAAATAGGGCCTCAGGTCCCCATATCCCCTGCACCCAGGCCGTGGCCTGTGGCAGGACTGCTTGGAGCAGGACTTGGGGCTCTTTTGGCATCGGATGCTCCCCCTCACTCCCGGGGCCAGCCGCCTGGTGGGCTCTCTGCCACGAGCCAGTGTGGGTGTCGGCCTTCCTGCCACAGGAGGGTGCTCGTGTTCTGGGACACAGGGTCCTGGTGACTGGGCAGGATGGAATCAGCACGGACCTTGGGCGCCCAGGAGGGCAGGTGGGGGGGGGGTGCAGAGGTGGGGGGCGAGGCAGCTTGAGCCTCGTTGTGGATGCCACCTGGGCTGCAGCAGTGCAGGGAGTGTCGTTTGGGTGGGCTGACTTCTCCTGGACCCCGAACTCTATGACCCCAGTACCTACAGGGGTGGGCGGGCAGGGCAGGCTGGTGAGCCTGGTGACAGGCGGGAGTTTCCTCTGGGCCAGTGCGGTCCCAGCGTCCTCGCCGCTGCCTGCAGAGGACGTGCTGGAGTCCTACGAGAACCCCCCGCCCATCGTGTTGCCAAGCGAGGGCTTCCAGGTCGATTTGGAAGCCGACTGCCCAGATGACAGCCTCTACCAGCACCTTCTGTACATCCGCCACTTCCTGTGGAGCCTGCGCAGCAGACCCAGCCCTGGCACCGGGCCTCCCCAGCCAGAGGGCCTCGAGGTACCCGGGGTGCTTCTGCTGGGTAATGGGGCGGCTGGGGGCAGCCTCTGGGGCCCCTGAGCACTGTGCCCCTTCCGCCTCCCACAGGGCCTGCCCCCCAGCACTGCTGAAGGGCCCCCGGAGGGCCAGAGCTGCCCGCTGGCTTCCCGGGGGGCTCGTGAAGCTGGCCCGGTGTGCCCTCCTCCTCCCGCTGGGGGTCCCCGCGCACAGGGCGCTCCAGGACGGCAAAGCCGCGGGGGCCCCCAGGCTGGCGTCCTGCACGTGGACTCCTCGTGCCTGCTCACGCCTCCCGGCACCCCACTGGACCTCGAGCCTGCTGTCCCCGACTGGCCTGAGTCTGGCGGCACCTGTGGGAAAACACTCTCAGAAGGAAGGTGGAGTGGACAGAATGGCCCCGGCAGTACAGCTGCGGAAGGTGAGACCTGTCCCCAGGCTCACACCGGCCCCTGGGTGGGTCTCCTGTGGGTCATTCCACCTATGCAGCCCTCGGGGCATGTTGGGCCTGGGCTGTCAGTACCTGTCCATGAATGCCCGCAGCCTGGGACACCAGGTCGGCTCCTGGGGCCAGATGTGGCGGGCAGATGGTGCCTCAGGCCCCGGCGAAGGGCGGCTGGGCTCTGTGCAGCCACCTGTGGACTAAGTCCCTGCACCCAGGGTAGTGGGAGGGGCGGCACAGGTGACGTGCACCAGGTACGAGGCTTGGGGTGGGGGTGGGGGTGGGGGACAAGGAGGCAGGGCATGTGTGTACACGCGCAGGGCAGAGCAGCCCCCCGCAGCATGCCCCTAACTAAGGCAGGGGCCACCTGGGCAGATCAGGGCCTGAGGCAGACCCCTGCTTCCTTGTGCAGGACTGCAGCCACCCACCCTCCCTGACCTCTGGGGCTAGAAGGGACAGTGTGGGGGGCTGCAGAGCTGAAGAGTCCCCACTCAGGAAGGGGACAGAATCAAACGGGGGGGCGGGCAGATGGGGAGACATTGCTTAAAGGGTGGAGAAGGGTCTGAGGAGGGGGCTGTGGGGGGACCTTGAACAGAGTCCCCCGCTCAGCCCTGGAACCAGCCAAGCTCGGAGACAGGCCACTGTCCTCGGCAGCCACGGTGCGCAGGGAGGAACCCCCCTTCCAGGCACATGGGGGTGTGGCCCACAGATGGGGCCTGGAGCCACCACACCTGGAGGGTCGTCAGGGATACGTCCCCATTGTGCCCAGATGGGCATCTCGCTGCAGCCGTGTGAGCGTTTCCCTTGGGAGGAGCAGCGAGGACAGGGAGGGACGGACGGCCACCCGCCCCTTCCCCCAGTGGCCCCTCGTCTCACCTGCGCAGGAGACTGCGTGCTTCCTGCTGACGAGCACCCGCCAGCGGCCTCCAGCCACAGCTCCAGCGCCGAGGACTTCTGCTACGTGTTCGTGGTGGAGCTGGAGCGGGGCCCCTCCGGGCTGGGAATGGGCCTCATCGACGGGATGGTGAGTGGCCCCCGGGCTCTGGACCACCCCATGCAGGCCCACAGCTCATGGGGTCGCGGGAGACCAGGGCCAGTTCCGTGGGGTCTGAGTGCAGGAAGGGCCTGTGCGGTAGCCGCTTCCTCTGACAGCTGCGTCCTCTCTGTCCTCGGGGTGCCGGTCCCGGGCCTGTGGGGTGGGGGTGGGGGTGGGGGTGGGGTCCAGTGCTGCCCTCACGGACACGCAGGAGACCACACACGAGTGAGCCCTCCGGGGCCTGCCCCGCCCTGAGGCTGCTGCTTCCCCCCCCCCCCAGCACACGCCGCTGGGCGCCCCCGGGCTCTACATCCAGACGCTGCTCCCAGGCAGCCCCGCGGCGGCGGACGGCCGGCTGTCCCTGGGAGACCGCATCCTCGAGGTGAACGGCAGCAGCCTGACGGGCGTCAGCTACCTGAGGTATCCCCACCCTCGCGCCCAGGCAGGCACAGGCGTCAGGGCAGCCCCGGCCCCCATTTTAGAGACAAGCGAGTGGAGGCTTGGTCACCAGCCCGCTCTCTGACCTCCGACGACCCCATAGCCCCACCAGAGCCCCTTGGGCACTCAGGGCTGCAGGGTGGGGGGGTCCTCATCCCAGGCACCCCCAGGAGCCCTGCCGCCCCAAGGCCGGGCCCGTGGTGAATCGACCACTCCAGGCGTCTCCCCTCCCCCGCTTCCAGGGCTGTGGACCTGATCCGGCACGGTGGGAAGAAGATGCGCTTTCTGGTTGCCAAATCTGACGTGGAGACCGCCAAGAAGATCCGCTTCCGCACACCGCCTCCCTAGGGCACGCTGGAGGGACGGGGCGGCGGGGGAGGCCACCTCCCGCCAGGCCGGCCCGCGGGGCCGCATCCCCACTGTGGAAAGTGTACATCTTAGTGTATATTTTATTTATATGACAGATGACACGAGGTTGTGGCGTTTGTTACAGAGCTTTTATGTTTGAAGGTTTTAACGGAAAAATATAGATTCAATAAACTATCTTTCGTACTCTGAGAGACTGGTGCCTGTGCAGCCAGGTGGGGGCCGTGCTGGGGCCCCCAGGGCCTGCCCCTCCCCGCCGGCTTCAGAGACACCCTGGGAGGACACGGGCTCAGGGTTCTAGGGGGTCTGGCGGCCTCGGGGAGGGGGCAGTGGGGTCTGCTCCTGGTCCTCACAGGCTCAGCCCGGCTCAAAGAAAGGGTCTGGCACCGCCCCAAGCGGCTGATGGTGAGCGCCTCGGCCCACCCCGGGGACTCGGGTCTCCTCCCATCATGGAAGCAGAGGCTGGGCCCTCATCCCAGGCTCTGAGTCTGCAGCCTGGCTGGCATCCACCGGGTCGCCGTCCCTTCACCCTGACGGGAGGCTCACCTCCTCCACCAGGTGGCAGAGTGTGTGCAGGGCTGTGTTCGCATCGCTGTGACGGGCCTCAGACACATCCATGCTGGGCGTCTGTAGCAGGGTCAGCAGCTCCGCAGCCAGTGTCCAGAGGCCTCCTGCATCGTGCTCACGGAGGCTGGGCTCAGAGTGTCCTCATCTTTGCCAGGAACAGAGACCTGGGGGGGGGAGGCGTTCCCGGCTGGTAGGGGCAGACACGCCCCTCGCATGGGAAGGAGTCACCTAGAGGGTGCCCAGCCACCCGGAGTGGGGTCCAAGGTGTGGCGTGAGCACTGGGCTCCACGCAGCTCCATGCTGCCCTCTGGTGAGCACAGAGGACAGATGTGCTTGTATCTGCCCCAGGCCCTTTGCTGCTGCTCTCTGATGCAAGGCTCCCAGATTCCACCTGCTTTGAAGCACCTCCCACTACTAAGTTCCCAAAATGCTGGATAAGATGAACTTTCACAAGTTTAATCTTAAGGGTATCTGGGCAGCCCAGAGGGGGAGATGGGGGGAGACAGGGGGAGCATTGGTGCAGCAGCTGGGCCTGGGGGTGATACTGGGTGGCAACCAGAAGCAGGGGGGAGATGGGACGGGGATATGGGGGGGTAAACGGGGGGGGGTTGTGATCCCAGGGTCATGGGTTTGGGCCCTGGGTCGAACTCTGGGCTGGGTTTGGAGCCAGTTTAAAATTCTATCTCTGTCCTTCTCTGCTTGCACGCTGTCTAAAATGAAAAAAAATATTTTAAATGTATGATTGATCCCAAAACATAAATTCTTAGAGCCTCAAATTGAAACAAGGGCACAAGAAAGGCTAACAGCAGCCTAAGGCCTGCGGAATCACAGGTCTCCGTTCTTCACTGCTCCATGCGGAGGTGACAGCTGTGGAGCCACGTGGGGGCTCCCTACATACCTCAGGTCCCCCAGGGGCTGAAGCCTGCACGGCCTGAACTCCCCAGGCCCCTTACACACAGTAGCATGTATACTGCTTACAGCCACCCTGTGATCGCCACTATCTGCCCATTTTCCAGATGAGGAAACGCGTGCAGGAGAACTAATCTAGTCTTTGCCATAACGCTCCGGGGAAAATGACAGAGCTCTGTGTCTCAAAGCAACATCACTAACTCACTCAGTGCGGCTGGAGCTGGCTCCCCGCTCCAGGTGGGGTCTGGCTACCCCTAACCCTCGTGTCTCTGCCTCCTTATACCAACAGACCCGCCAGGAATGTTCTCTTAGCGAAGCAAATGCAGAGGCCACGCCCAGCTCCCCAGCACATTTCAATCCTGTCACTTCTGGTGACAGTCCACCGGCCAAAGCAGGGGGGACGGCCTGGCCCACAGTCAGTGGGTAAGATGCTGCCCACCCCCACCCAGGCCACCACGCAGGAGTGCTGGTACAGACCACAAACCCAGGGGACTGAAAGGTGGTGACCACGGAGTGCACCCCTTGGGAGCCAGCTGGGGTTGGAACTGGGGTAATTTGTCTCTAAACTCTTAAGCACCCTGATGGTTTTCTTGGCAAAGAACACGTGGAAGGAGACTCCCCGGATCGCCCTAGCCCTGGGAGGCAGCGAGAACACCTCCTCTGTGTGCCCTCACCAGCCAGTTCTTAACGCAGGTTTGGGACCCGCACTTCTGTGTGCGGAATGTTTGAAAACCCCCGAGCCGAGCGCTGAAAGGGGCACCACAGGCACCTTGCAAGAGTAACAGACATTCTTCTCTAGAACATACACCCTCCACCCTGGCCTTCCGGCCTGGGATTCAGGGCCCTCGTGGGGTCGGCATGGGGAGCGGTCCACGGACCCCTGCCTGGGGCCCAAAACGGATAGGTGAAGGGCCGGGAGGGATCCTAGACTCCCGCCTGGGCTCACGCGGGGTAGGTATGGGACCGGGAGGGTCCAGGGAGCGGCAGAGCTGGGTCTGTCCCATCCCGGGAGAGCCGGGGGGGGGGGGGGCCCTGCCCCCCAGCGCTCGGCTCCACGGGCGCATCACCTGTCACAAGTCATCCTGATCCTGAGGCCGAAAGTCGGGTGACGCATAAGTAGACAACCCCTGCCCGTGCAGCGCCAGGTCTGGGCCCCACGCGGCACTCCCCAACCTCTGCGGCTGCAGTTTCTACCCGCGTCCGAGCCGCCAACCAGTGGGATCTGGGACCTGGGGGCGTGGTAAAGGCGGGGGCGGGGCCGGATCCTGGGCCTGGGGGCGTGGTAAAGGCGGGGCCAGACTCGGGGGCGGGGCTGAACTGGAGACTCGTGGAGCAGCAGCACCACCTGGTGGCCTCCTCGCACCGGATAGAACCTCAGGAGCTGGTGTGCAAGGCAGGAACCTGACTCAGCGGAGCAGTGGCAGGAGGCGCTGAGGCTGGGGCTGTTTCTTGCCCCGCCAGACCCAGTACATCTCCCCTACTTGCTGTAAGGCTCCAAGCTGCAGGCAGGTGTCGGGGGTCCCCGGGAAACACAGACGGAGCACCCTCTGAATGGCAGGAGGCTGTAGGCCTGAAGACGTGGGGTGCCTGTAGCCCACTGGACAGGGTCGACAGGGTCCCCAGGGCCCATCCAGAAGTAGAAGGCAGGCCAAGAAAGAACCCTGAGCAAAGGGCCTTCCTGGGGCAGTTGCATTTCCAGGTCACACTGCTTCCTCGCTGCTGGTATTTGTGCTATTATTTCTAGGACACTGTGGGGACTGAGCTGGAAGGAACGGCTGCAGGTGTCTGGTGTAGCTGGGCAAGGGACCCCAGGGCCAGGTCTCACAGACCAGCAGTGCACCCCCACTTCTGACCCTGCCCCCCCTGGGTGGAGGGAAGGGCACAGCCCCTGCCTTGGGCACACAGATACTTTTGGAAAGAGGTTTATTGCTGGCGTATCTTTTCTTGCCCCAAACCAGGAGCAGCTCAAAACACACCAAGCAGATGCCACCCAGTCCCAAATCACACCTGTTTTACCGCACAGCTCAGCACAGTTGGAGAGACAGGCTGAGGGGGTGACAGTCCTGATGGGCACTGAGGGACTCAGACACCCCCCCCCTCCCCCGGGCCTCCTGCCCTTCCCGATGTCCCCTCTGATCACGGAACCTGAGGCTTAGCCCTAACAGCAACCTCTTCATCAGCATCTCTTCACCCCGGCAGGAGGCCCGTCTCCCTCTCCACCAGGCGGCTGACCGTGCGCAGGGCCAGGGGCAGGGCTGTGTTGGCGTCGCGGTGGTAGCGGGGCTTGGACACCTCTGCGCTAGGTGTGAGCACAAACTGGGCCACGCTGGGCATCTTCAGCAGGGTCAGCAGCTCAGTGGCCCGTGTGCGCACAGCTCCCGCGTCGTCCTCGCAGCTCGTGGAGCTTGGGGCCGGGCTCTGGGCCAGGGTCCTCATCTTTGACAGGAACAGGGAGACCCTGAGGACGAAGGGATCCTGGTCAGCCGGCTGCAGGCGTACCCCTCACACCCTGGGAACGGGGCCCCCCGGCTCCTAGGTCTTGAGCTGGAGAAGTGATGCAGCCGGGCCAACAGCCCCGCCCCTGCAGGGCAGACATCAGGGACAAGGAAGGCGGCCGGGGCCACTTCCCTTCCCCACGGGAAGCCCGCGGGGTCCCTCTCCGGCCCCATCCCGTACCGGGGAATCAGGTCTTGGCTGCGGGAGGCCAGCTTGGTCAGCGTGGTCATGAGCACGGTGACGACCTGCGGGGGACACTTGGGAACTGCAGCAGACGGCCGGGACTGGGTGACTTCGAACAGCACAGCCTCCAGGCCCTCGAAGAACCTATTGATCAGCTCCACGGTGCACCGCCGGTCCCAGGACACAGACAGGTACTCGCCAACGGCCCAGGCCTGGGAAGGGACGGAGCCTCAGTGCCTTGTCGGCCGCCACCTTGGGAGCCAGGTGCACGGCAGGGCGGCCTTACCACGGACACAAGCATGGGCCCCCTGCTGTGGACGCCACTTGAGCTCCCCACGAACTCCAGCAGCTCCTTCGCCAGCTCCACCACCAGTGACGGGTGCAGTGCACACAGGGCCAGGAACTGCGAACTCAGCACGCTGCCCGAGGAAGGACACAGGTGGGCCGGGGCGTCCCTGGCCCCAGACCCTGGCCCCTCCTCCAGAACCAGAGGGCGAAAGGGAAAGCTCTAAGCACCAGGTCCAGGTGCAGATGGTTCCAGCCCCAAAGGAACTCGCAGTCCCAGGAGGAAGAGGCCAAGGCTGGTGAGGAGACGGGGTGGGGGTGGGGGTGGGGGGGAGCATTGGTGCAGCAGCTGGGCCTGGGGGTGATACTGGGTGGCAACCAGAAGGGGGTCAGCAGGGGCAACCAGAGTAGGGGGTGCCAGCCCACCTGTGCACGTGGGCCTCGTACTGTGGCACCTGGAACAGGGAGTCGCTCCTCTCCAGGAGCAGCAGTGCCAGCTGATTGGTCAGGGCCCCATCGGCAAACTGGGGGTCAGGAGGGAGAAACGGGCTCAGTCCCGGCCCCAGCAACACCACCTTGTGCCACGCTCCGCTCTGGTCCCGGCTGTGTGCACCAGACCCAAGTAGCTTGTGGGGCCCCCATTCTGGCGGAGAGGATGGCCCCACAGCTGCTCCCACCCTTCCCAGGGGGTCTGGCTGAGCCAAGGCGGGGCTGCGGTCAAGGATGTGGGCCCTGCAGAGGCGTAGGCCAGGGATGCCGTCCTCCCTTGGGTACGAGTGTGTGTGTGTGTGTGTGTGTGTGTGTGTGTGTGTGTGTGTGTCATCCCGCAGGTGCAGGGATGCCGTCCTCCCTTGGGGACGAGTGTGTATGTGTGAGTGTGTGTGTGTCAGCCCGCAGGTGCAGGGATGCCGTCCTCCCTTGGGGACGAGTGTGTGTGTATGTGTGAGTGTGTGAGTGAGTGAGTGTGTGTGTCTGCCCGCAAGTGCAGGGATGCCGTCCTCTCTTGGGGAGTGTGTGTGAGTGTGTGTGTGTGTGTGTCTGCACCCAGGTGCAGGGATGCCGTCCTC